ATATTCCTTAAAAATCCACTCCTCTTTTAGGGATTGAAAAATATTCTTGGTCCTTTTCCTATTTCAAACTTTAAAGTCGGAATTTTTCCAATGTGATGTAGAAAAGCAATCGAGGTTTTTGAAAGTAAAAAATTCAATATTTATAGGTCGATGTGTTAAGACATCCCTCATATAAATGACCGACCCAACATATTTGTAAATATTCTACTTATAACTAATAATAAGCCAATAAAGAGTTGTATTTTCTTATTTCTTCAACTAATTCTTTTCGCACCAAGACGCAGAGGAGTAGTAATATAATATATTGTTTGTACAGAAATTGTCCTGCTTAAACACATTACAATTAAACATAAATTTATATTCATATATGCCATAAATTGAAGTGCATAAATATATATTTTTTTCAATTCATTTAAAATAAATCTTTATAGTACGTTTACATTTAACCGGATTTCGTTAACCCAGTGGGTTTCAATTGTCAATTCCTTTGCATATACGTCAAATAAATCCTCATAAAGTAGCTTAACCCGGTAAAAAGTTCTAATGTACAAGGAGTTTTATACCATTGTTCCATTATGTCATTCTAACATGGCAACACATGTCTGCACATCTCAGTTATGGCAATACCCTACACAAATAAGAAGTTGGCAAATCACCCGCACAGTGCTGACAACATGAAAACAGCTTGAATTTTTCAAGATTGGCAACACCCAACCCTGATGTTTTTCTTTCCGTTCTGTAAACTGAAACGTCAAGATGGCTGAGGTAAATTTTTCAGTGAAAAATCTTCAAAAATATTTTACATCCTAAATAGAATATTGAAAAATATGTGATAATTATGTGACAAATTAAAATGCTAATGAGATGTAAATAAAATTTTGTGCTAATCTACTAGAAAATGTGAAATATACAGTTTGTGTTAACACCAGTGACTAATCTATTCTATATTATGTCCTTTTTTGCAGGTCGACGAAACTCTTAAGAAGAAGCGTACCTTCAAAAAGTACACCTACCGTGGTGTCGATTTGGACCAATTGTTGGATATGCCCAAGTAAGTACCATAATATCTATTTATGATTTTGGAATCATGCTAATTGTTGTGTTTTTCTCTTTGTGTAGCAAGCAATTGGTTGAATTGATGCACAGCCGTGCCCGCAGACGTTTCTCCCGTGGCTTGAAACGCAAACCAATGGCCTTGATCAAGAAATTGCGCAAAGCCAAGAAGGAGGCTCCACCAAATGAGAAGCCCGAAATTGTCAAGACCCACTTGAGAAACATGATCATTGTTCCCGAAATGACCGGTTCCATCATTGGTGTCTACAACGGCAAGGACTTCGGTCAAGTCGAAGTTAAGCCTGAAATGATCGGTCATTACTTGGGTGAATTTGCTTTGACCTACAAACCCGTTAAGCACGGTCGTCCCGGTATTGGTGCCACCCACAGTTCCAGATTCATTCCATTGAAGTAAATGTGTGCTATTCGCATTTATTGTCATGGTATGTGTGTGTGGTGTATAACAACAGCCAACAACATCATCAACCACCTCCTGCGTCCATCTTTCCAATAGAAGAGAAGTTTATAGATTCTTATTTTTTTGTAAATGTGCATTCAAACCCAATCCAAATGCATATTGTATTCTGTTGTATTGGGTTTGCCAATATTCTGAAAAAATAATGTGTTGAATAAAAAACAAAATATTCAAAAGTTTTACACAACCAATGTACAGATAAAATGACTGTGTGTTTTGAAAATTATTTATTGATGCTGCGCTGATGTTCAAGAGACGTGTGGTGGGAAGATTGAAAACTAAATGAAATAATCGGCATTTCTATGAAATCGGTCATGAAGGCATGGAATGGCGATCTCAAAAATGAAATCCTTATGAATGGGTGTGGATTCAATTGGTCAATGAAGGTTTTGTTTAAATGTGAGAATGAATTTTGATCTACTAAAAGCGGTATTGGCCACCATGGTCAAGGAGACAGGTGGTGGATCGTACTAAAAGACACTTTTTCTTTAGCGAGTCCATTATTACCGACTGTTACCCATGTTCGTCATTGGTTTTAATAGCGACAGAGGCTATATGGGCATCATCCAAATTTGTCATTTTTAGGTCAGGGATTTTCTATTAAAATGATTGTAAAATTTACCATTTTTGCTTCAAAAATAAATCCTATGGGAAAAATACACTACACCTATGAGGTCTTCACAAATTGGTTATAGTATCGTATCTGAGGACTGCATGATTTTTTTTAGGTTTATGTGAATTTTTTCTTTACGATAAAATACACCCTAATGGTAACATACACCCCCCGTGGTAACTGAGGTCCGGGTGAATTTGTTTTATGGATGTAAATGCACCTCAGTGGCAACATAGGTCTGGTCGTTGTTTTTATACCCTTCACCACACTGTGGTACAGGGTATTATGTCTTTGTGCATATGTTTGTAACAGGCAAAAGGAAACGAGATAGACCTTTTGAGAATATGCATAGAATCACTTTCTGAGTCGATTTATGCATGTCCGTCCGTCTGTTGATCTTAAATTGGAAACAAAGTACAGGTCGCATTTATCATCCGTTTTGGATGAAATTTGGCACAGCTCATTTATTTGGCCCAAGGACGAACCCTATTGAAATTGGGAAAAATCGGTTCAGATTAAGATATAGCTCCCATATATAATTTCGTCGGATTTAAGGTAAATGGTGCACAAAAGTCCCTATAAATCTTTCGATTTGCATGAAATTCGACACAGCGTATTGAATTAGGCGTAGAATGATGTGTGTCGTTTCGTGAAAATCGGTTCAGATCTAGATATAGCTTCCATATATATTTTCGTCCGATTTAAGGTAAGTGGGGCACCAAAGTCCCTATGTATCTTTCGATTTGCACGAAAATTGCCATAGCGTACTAAATTAAGTGTAGAATGATATGTGTCAAGTTTCGTGAAAATCGGTTCAGATATAGCTTCCATATATATTTTCGTCCGATTTAAGGTAAGTTGCGCACCAAAGTCCCTATGTATCTTTCGATTTGCACGAAAATTGCCATAGCGTACTAAATTAAGTGTAGAATGATATGTGTTAAGTTTCGTGAAAATCGGTTCAGATTTAGCTATAGCTCCCATATATATTTTCGTTCGATTTAATGCAAATCGTTCGCCAAAGACCGTATATATTCTTCGATTTGCACGAAATGTGGCATAGCGTACTGAATTGAGTCTGTAATGATGTGTGTCAAGTTTCGTGTAAATCGGTTCAGATTTAGATGGTAAACCAAAGTTCTATATATTTCGTTCAATTTCATGTCAGTGTTCTTTCGAAGAGGCGACGTCTGTTAGGAGACTATGTAGAATATACCTAAAGTGGTGAAGGGTATCATATAGTCGGCCCTGTCCGATTTTACTACATTCCTTACTGGTTTTGTATTGATTTACCGTCTTTCGAAAATTTTCTTTAAAAATCCACACATATGACCCTTTTAGGTTAGTGATTTTTTTTTAAATGCACGCCAGAAAAATATTATTTAAAAATTAATTAATCATCCGTGCTTATTGATAGACAGCTAAAAATTATTTGTTTTAATCCACGCTTATTGATAGACCCCCTAAAAATATATTTTTTAAGTCATTAGAAAAATATTCTTTAAAGATCACAAGCATATCTAGCCGTATGACCTTATTATCAGTCTCTATTTCCTCCCATTGACAACAACGTTGATTTTTATTTGTTTTTTGTTTCTGTAAAGTTTTTTTTTGTTTGTTTTGTTATTAATTTTATATATAAAGTTCTTCATTCAATAAAATCATATACATGAACAATAAACTTTTTTTGTTTTTTGATTTTTACTTATATAATATCCTAAGGAAAAAAATATACTCAAAATTATATATGGAAATGGAGTAATTAGGGGTAGGGGGGAAATGTGTGTGTTTATTTGGAGAGCATTGTTATAGATTTTCTTGTGGTTGATGATGTTTGATGGTGGCAAAGTAAAAACACAACAATTTCAGCTTTAAAAATTTGTATCTACATTTATAATTGGTTTCATTTGGGTGTGATCTTAAAATATTATTTTATATATAGACGATTTCTATGTATGTGGAGTTGCAGCAACGTAAAGCATATATTAAATGTTTTGGAAGCGTAAGGAAGGGAAGGAAGGAAATCAATCAAGGGGCTTACAATAACGATAAACCATCTTGAAGAAAAATACTAATAGAGGGAATAGGAGTTGCAGGAACAGAACTTAAAATGGATTATTGTGTTGGGGTGAACAGTATTTATTTTTTTTATCCAAATTTATTTCTTCTTGTTGTTGGGAGGATGTTGTTAGAGATCTATTTCTATTTCAATAGTGTTTTGGCTATTTTCCATGTTGTTACATTTCTTATACCATTTTTTTGTTGTTAAAAAAGAAAAAATATTCTTCTTGTTGTAAATATCATCTCTATGCTCTATTTATACGTTTTTGTTTGTTTTGTTCCAACGACATTTTTTTGTTTTATTTACTAATTTCTCTTTTTTTGTTATAAATTTGTAAATGAAATCCTTATTTTTTTTTCTTTGTTGTTGCTTCCATAATTGTTCTTGTTTTGGTGTTTTTTTTTCGGGGACTGGTTAGGGGTTTAATACATGTTAATCATATATATCTGTATATGTGTTTAACTTTGTTGTTGTTGATGTTCTGCTTCTTTTTACTTAATTATTTAAATTTGATTTTGTGTTTGTTGTTGTGGTTTCTTGTTGTTGTTCAGCTTTTTTCCTTCTTATACGAAATTAAAGTTGCAAATATAATTTGTTGTTGTGTAATGTGTAAAAGTATTATCCATTAATATATATAAAAACGATTTAATTAATAATTAATAATAATAAAAAAACACACATGAAAAAAAGAAATGACGACGGGATGTGATAACCGAAGTACGGAAAGATGATAATAATGGTTTTTCTTGCTGCTACACACTGTTGGTAAATATATATATATACGGTTTGGTCGATGATTTAACCTTCATGCTTTCTTTTCTTGCCTCGTGCCTGACTTTCCTCGACTGAAATAAAAAAGAAGAAGAATAGAGAAAAAATTAATGAAATTCAAACAAATAAACGAGGGAATTGTTTTTTTATTTTTGTGTTCAAGGATCTTATAGTCCTAAGAAAAATATGCCTTAAAAATCTAAGTTTACGTTTTTTAGGGCCGAGATTTTTCTTGGTTTTCTGCCACCGCCTATGATCCTTTTAGTCTTGATAAAAATATTCATTAAAAATCCACGCCTATGATCCTTTTAGTCTTGATAAAAATATTCATTAAAAATCCACGCCTATGATCCTTTAACCTTGATAAAAATATTCATTAAAAATCCACGCCTATGATCCTTTAACCTTGATAAAAATCCACGCCTATGATCCTTTTAGCCTAGAGAAAAATATTCCTTAAAAATCCATGCCTATGATCCTTTAAGCCTAGAGAAAAATATTCCTTAAAAATTCACGCATATGGTCCTTTTAGCCTAGAGAAAAATATTCTTTAAAAATCCACGCATATGGTCCTTTTGGGCATGAGAAAAATATTCTTTAAAAATTCATGCATATGGTCCTTTTAGCCTAGAGAAAAATATTCCTTAAAAATCCACGCCTATGATCCTTTTAGCCTAGAGAAAAATATTCCTAAAAAATTCACGCCTATGGCCTTTTTGGGCATGAGAAAAATATTCTTTAAAAATTCACGCCTATGGTCCTTTTGGGCATGAGAAAAATATTCCTTAAAAATCCACGCCTATGATCCTTTTAGCCTAGAGAAAAATATTCCTTAAAAATCCACGCATATGGTCCTTTTGGACATGAGAAAAATATTCTTTAAAAATCCACGCCTATGATCCTTTTTGCCTTGAGAAAAATATTCCTTAAAAATCCACACATATGGTCTTTTTTCTTTAAAAACATTTCATAAAAATCAAAGACCAAGGTCCTCGGTCCTTAAAAATTCACTGTCATGGTCATCAGAAAAACATTTCTTAAAAATCCTCAATCCTTAAAAATGTACGCTCCACGTTTAATGATAGACCTTCAAAACAATATTCTTTAAAAGTCCACGGCTATTGATAGTCCCTGAAAAATATTTTTAACCAGTAAGGAAAGTAGTAAAATCGGATGGAGCCGACTTCACCACCATGGATATATTAAACAGGACTATTAACATGAAATTGGATGGACTAAAATGTGATATTTATTTGAACGGATTTTCATGAAATCGAAATCGAAAGATATATAGGGACTTTGGTATACCATTCGGACGAAAATATATATAGGAGCTGTATCTAAATCTGAACCGATTTTTCCCAATTTCAATAGGGTTCGTCCTTGGGCCAAATAAATGAGCTGTGCCAAATTTCATCCAAATCGGATGATAAATGCGACCTGCACTTTGTTTAAAATTTAAAATCAACAGACGGACGGACATGCATAAATCGACTCAGAAAGTGATTTTATGCATATTCTCAAAAGGAACTATGGGTCTATCTCGTTTCTTTTTGTGTGTTACAAACATGTAAATATTCTTTAAAAATCCACGCCTACTGATACAACTTCAAAAAATATTCTATAAAAATCCACGCCTACTGATAAAACCTCAAAAAATATTCTATAAAAATCCACGCTTAATGATAGACCATTAAAACATATTCATTAAAAATCCACGCTTAATGATAGACCCTCAAAAAATATGCTTTGAAAATCCACGCTTAATGATAGACCCTCAAAAAATATTCTTTGAAAATCCACGCTTAATGATAAACCCTCAAAAAAATGTTCTTCAAAAATTCACCTCTTTAGCCCTCTTCTAACTCAAAAACTATTCTATAAAAATCCCCGACTTTGGTCCTCACTACTCTCCAAAAAATATTCCTTAGGAACCCAAGCCTTTTACCCTCACACAGTCGATCAAAAAATATTCCGAAAAATTTCAAATTAATTTTAAATTATTTCCTATTGTTTCACCCGTTACTTACCACCGGCGGCATTATCTTCAGCTTTGTCCGAATTTACAACAGCTGAATCGTTAGCTTCATCTTCATCGCTGAAATCATCTTCATCATCATCGTCTTCATCATTTTCAGCATTTTCTTCGTCCCATTCACCCTCATCTTCTTCGAGATCATCATTGTAGACCTACAACAAAAATGGAGACAACATATTTTTTATAAAACCAGTGGGATATTTCAAAATAATTCCAACTCACCTCTGATAACGAGACATCTCCTGTACTCACACTGTTATCACTGCCATCTGAACCATCTTCATCATTTTCACATGATTCGGCTTCAGAATCTAAAAAAAGCAGAACGAGAAAAAAAAAACATGTAACCGATTAATTTTCAATTGCGAATGGCATTTTTTGGAATAATGCTTACAAAAGGCAGCACTGGCCAAATTTAATATTGCTAAAAACCAATATAATAATATTGCAAAATTCATTGGAGTAGTCGTGGTTTGAATATTAGAAGAAGAGGATGAAGTTGGATCACCGCCCGTAGCAGAAGATCGTCGTTGTTGTTGCTCTTTTTCTTTTAATTGTAATGTTTTTAAATATTCATCAAGTTCATCAATTTCGGTGGCATCATCATTGTTTGAGTTATTGTCTTTGGTCGTTGTTATTGTTGATACCTCATCTTCTTCGTTTTTCTTTTTAGCCTCACGTTTGGCTTTTAAACGTTTCTCAAACTCTTCCAATTCATCCAAATCAATTTCTAATCCATTTAGGCTAAATGCATTTTGTTTATCTGAAATAGTTTATAGATTTGAGGGGTGGTGTGGTGCATGGATGTGGGATGGTCAATTGGAGTTCGGTATGGAATATGATTGTGTGCGTTCCATTAGGTTGAAGATGATGATGTTGAGAATTATGGGATGTATAGCCACAGTTTAGAACATTTTAAGGCAACCAGTAGGCTCAATAGGACTTCTAATAGAAGACAACAACAAAAATACTAATAGAAGACCAAATGTTTTTCTAATTAGAAGACCCTTTCGACTTTTCATAGAAGACTAAAAGGTTTTCCATAGAAGTCTAGGAGGTATCCTCTCATATATGACATGAGAGGTCATCACATAGATGGATATGAGGTATTCTCATAGAAGACATGTATTTTGAGAGAACTCTAGAGGACTTCTTTCTGAAGACTAGAATGAATGACAACAAAAACCTAGAAGGCAATAGAAGACACACAGAAGGTTAGGTGATGTGCAGTCACATGGCTGCAGCACTCTGAAACCGTCAGGTCCATTGTTATCATCCACGAAAAGCGATAAGAAGAGATCTATAGGGAAGAGAAGAATGGGGAGATAAGAAGCTAACAAGAAAATGTGAGAAGTTAAGTTTGAAATAGTATCGATGGCTATCGAGATCGGGCAGAAGATATATTACGTGTCACGGTTGCACTTTCCCAAAGATTTTTAATTATGCTGTAGATTGGAACAGGTTCAGTTATTGAAAAGAAGCTAAGACTCGGTGGAAAATGAGCACCCACTAGTATGTACGCCTGTAAGCCAGTGCTCCTTGTCAACGCAGATTCTACAGTAATCAATCGATCCCATTTACTAGTAAAGTCCCTGATATTGCAACGACCAGTAATGATTCCAGTCAGTACTCTTATTTCAGCTTCGCTCAGATTCAACAGTGAGTGTGTCCTTTTGATAGACAAAGTCGGCCAAATGGATCTTGACACATTGCACCTAAGTTCGTTGTGCCAAAGGTTATAGACCCTTTCGTCGAAGAACGCCTCAAAGTTCTGATAAAGATGATTGAGTTCTATTGATTGAGTCATCAATTGCTAGATCTGTGCTTTGAGATCATCGTCTAGCTAATTCGTTTGCTCTTTCATTACCCAAGATGTTACGGTGTCCTGGTACCCAACACAGCCGATAGCTCTAAATTCTTCCAAAGCTGTTCTACACTTGAGTACGGCCTCAGATTTGATATAACAAGAAAGTATTCTATCTAAAAATCGTCTGGAGGTCTGCTATCTACAGGACACTTTTTGAAAGAGGTCATTTGAATGTATTATATTCACAGAGACCTTATTGCAGGCAATTTAAAAGGTCTTTCATCTAAAGAATATATTTTAATGGTATATGTTTTATCTGGATAATTTCGATACATTGGTCATATGTCCAATAAAAAAATTGGCAAATTGTACAAAGAGAAAATATTAAAGTATTGAAAATATAGCTCACCTTCTTCTTCAGAATAGTTTCCATTTTCTTCATCGTCATCACCCTCCGAAGGAGCTTCAACGTCATTGCAATCGAAACTACAAAAATAAATAAAATGATCAAAAATATGTTCCACCAAGGAAGAAAAGAAGTTGTACACTTACCCATCTAAAAATTTCAGTGAAGGCAACATTTCAAAGATTTTCTCACGATAATTTTCAATTTGTGTTGCTTCATTGTTGAATAGATCCAATACAGCTAGATGTTTGAATTCTTCCAATGGTTTTAAGGCTTCTAAATCTTTAATTTTGTTACCAGACAAATTTAAATATTGCAATTTGGGGCTAGTACACAAATAATTGAGGCCATTTGATATTCTGAAAAAATGGAAGAGAAACAAATTAATAAAATATGTATTGAATTGGAATATTTTGAAATATTCGATAATAACCTGTTATCTGATAATTCCAATTTCTTTAAATTGGGCAATTTTGGAAAACCTTTTAAGGTTGTTAGGCCAACATTAATTAAACTTAATGATTCCAATGCCGTATATTCATCTGTAAGGCCAACGATACTTGTACTCCGGCAGTTGTCCAAATTTAAATCTGTAATCTGGAAATAAAATGGGAAAATATGAGAGATTAATTATTGAAAAAAAATATGTAAAGGTTTTGTCATGAACCCAAGCTAATATATTTGGTTTTCTGTGAGAAGTCAGTCTTGAGTTTTTATGGAGACCTTGTGGACTTCTACAATAAGAGCTAGTGAAGACCTGTTGGTCATTTATGATAAAAGCTATTGGCTTCTGGTGATCTTCTTTGAAGAAGATTTGTTGGTCTTTTATGAGAAGACTTTTTGTTCTTCTTCGATAAGACCTATTGATCATCTACGAAAACGATGGTTCTATATCAGAAGACCTTGCATATTTTTATGTGAACTTTTGGTCTTCCATATAAAGATCTTGTGGCCTTCCATGAGAATTGGAAGAACTATATACATACATACATATGTGTTATTCGAAGACCCTGTGGTCAACAACCATAAGGTAATTTTTTTGTGTTGGTGTATTATACGATCAGTTCACTGCTAATTTTTGTAACTGAATTTTATATTCAAATTGCAAGCCATAAAATACTTCCAATATTCTAACGTGTTCCATAATTTTATGGCATCCAAAATTATTGGAACGAATATGGCAGCTAATTAGCAGCTGACCACCTAGCATCCAGCCATCTGCCACAAAATCATCATAGCAAAAAAAAAAACAGAAAAAATAATAAAAATTGAACGAGCAACAAGAACTGGCGGCGTATGGCCGAAAAAAAGTACAAATCAAAAAAGAAACACACAATGACAAAACGAAACGGAATTCAAATGTCATTGAAATGCTGTGAACAGTGAAACACAGAGAGAAACAGAACGGCATTAGAATGACAACAAGAATCCACACAACAACACAACAAAAGAAAAACAGAAAAGAACACGAACAAAAAAACACCTTGTTGCTCGCTCATTTCTGCATATGCAGGACTATAAACCGAAAGTGCGAAACAAAGATGAAACTAGTCGCATTTCAGCAAGCGTTCATATAACAGCCCGGCCGCCATATTGCGAGTTGTGTTGTCTTGGTGTGAACGCGTGAAAAAAGAAAGAAAAAAAAGAGCAAAGAACTTTTTTATTGCATCCACCAAAGAAATGAAAGAAAAAATTGTTTTTCAAATTATTCCCAAATTATTGGGAGAAAAATGCGAAGAATAATGCAAAATGTTTGAATAAAAAAAATGTGTATGAATGAATCTACAATGCAATGAGAAAAATCACAAGAAAATGTGTTAAGAAAAATTGAAAATATTTTTTTTCACAAAAAGAGGAAAAATATGATGTAATCTTCTTTGACCAAAAGTAATGGATGACGGACGGCGTACCAAAACCATGTATGAAGGGGAACAAGGGGTAGAGGAATACATTGAAAGGGAACTGCAAAAGTGGTTGTTTATTTTGTTGGCGAAATGCGACGATGATGATAATGGAACAAAATGAGAAACAACGGGTTTTTTTGCAGAGTACTCAGCGGGAGAGAGAGAGAATGCTTGCATGACAGCGACCCTCAGGCAAAACAGCTGAGATTGAAACGAAAGAAAAGGTGTTGTTTCACGGCATCCATGCGAAAGAAATAGCAAAACAATTTGCAATTTTTCTTTTGTCCCCCAACAAATGTCAGAGAAAATACCGAATTGTTTACAAAAAATGTGAATATTATGATGATGGATGTTAACTCATCTTCCCTTTTTGTAATTACATGCAGTGCGTGTGTGTATGAGAGCTGGGGGAAGAGTAAGCGTGGTTTTATATTTGCCGGGATCGGGATCGGTGTTGAGAGTCTCTCTCTCTCTCAGTGGCAAATTGTGAATTGTGTTGGAAAACATTGCCACAGGTAGGAACAAAAAAGTACGAAAAGGTACCTAAAATTCTACTTCAAATGATAATAAATCATAATTATCGAGAAATATTGGCCAATATTTATACCAGTTGTTTGCATAAATAATATATGTTATAATTTAAGCGTAAATGTATCCACGGATAATAAAAAATATAATTTTTGTTTTGGTACGTTTATGTCAATTCGTACCTTTTGTGAACAAAAGGTACGCTTGTTACAAAATTAAAAATAGCGCAACTCTAATTACTCTCTCAAGAGAGAGAAACTCTCAACACCGATCCCGATCCCGACAAATATAAAACCACGCTAAGAAAAAAAATGAAAGTGATGGTGTTGTTGGCTTCTGGTCACACTTATTATTATTCATGATTTTACAGGTTCAATCACCACAGAAACGCAATATAGAATAAAAATTGGGGAGGGGGATGTAATTCCCTTATCTGTGCTTTGAATCCCTTACACCCAACAACAACAACAACACGAAGGTTGTGTGTGTTTTTTACAAAATTGTATTGTGGTAGATAAGTAACGCGTGTATTTTCAATTCCACACTGTTTCTATACAACAAGAGATAATTGACGTCGTCGTCGTCTTTAATTTGTATGTTTGCGCGATTATCTACCGCCACCAATGTGTCAACCTCTCCCCCTCGCCCCTTTATCAAATCCAACATCTTTCACAACTCGTTAGTTACAACCACACCACACATTTCTCTTCTACTACTTGACAATATACGTATGAAGAAAATGCATTCAACGACGATCTATCTGCCAGCCTGTCCTGCTGTACTACGACTAAACAAAAAGCGGCACACAACATTTCTATTTGAGATAAATCGATAATGAAACGTTTGAGCTTGACAAAACTTGGGACACACAAATAAGATTTTGTTGGGGAAGGGGTCTTGACATATTTTTTTTTGTTTAAAACGCCATTCCTTCTAGATTCATTAGAGATTTGTAGTTTATATGGTAAATGCAATTGAATGTGGAGATTGAAATTTTCATGTCCTTAGGAATTAGATATCTCAAAATTTCATGATCAAAGAATTTTATCAGGCAATTTTCGGGAAACAATATTTCTTTAAATTTTTCTAATTTGTTGTAAGTTTCATGAGTGTGTGTTATGTTGGTGGTAGTAGTTTTTAGTTCGAATAATTAATGACCCTTGACAAGGTCAAATTATGACCTATCAATATTTTATATTTGTTACGCTTTTTGGGCTTCTTTGAAAAGGCCTTTTGATGTTCAATTAGAAGAACTCCTTGTACAATATGTTTAGGATATTATATGAGAAGATTTTACGGTAATCTGTAGGAAGATCTTCGGGTCTTACAAGAGAAAATAAGTAAACCTTTTGGTCTTTAATTAAACTAGGAAAGCGTTTTTTTCTTGTCTTCAATGAGACGATTTAATGAAATTTATGTGAAAGTCTTCACATATAAGCTTATATGTGATGACTTTACGAGATCTTTATAAGAAGCGATTCTGGTAGTCTATGAGAAAACCTTTGGTCCTATTTTGGCGTTAATTTCAGTAGCTTCTCCGTTACCTGGTATTCTATGAGAAAATCTTCTAAGATCTTCTGATATTCTATTCTTTATATATAGAATGATAAAATTTTAAGTAGCTTCCGATTCATTCTGGTATTCTATGAGACGAGCTTCTAATTTTTTCCAGAAGGAGAATATCCTGGTATTTGAGAAAAACATTCTATCCTCGTTTTTATAGAATTGTAGTAGCTTCCGAGCCTTTTTGGTCTTCTTTGGGTTCCATAATTTGAAATAAAAAACTGAGATCATGTTAAATTAAAAGTTTTGATATTCTATGAGAAGACTTTTTAGCTTTTTATGGGAAGATCTTATGACTATCTATGAGAGGAACTACTTGCCTTCGAAGAGAAGGCATTCTGGATTTATGGTTTTTTATAATTCCCACCGCCATGAGCGGTGGGTGATACCCCTAAATTTTAATACCAAAAAGGTTACATAAAAGCAACAAAAAGAAAAGATATTCTTATTGATATGTAACAATGACCACACATAATGTTATTGTCCAAATATTGTCATAAGTAATTCTCACTGAAGACGGAATTATTACTAACGATTCTTCTCATATGTGTTTAAAGTCTTTCGTTGACATCTTCTTCGTTGATGAGATGATGTCATTGAATATAAAAATAGAATCTTTTATGTAATTCTTGACTTCTAAGGAACTAGGAACGAAAGTATAAGACCGAAAAGATTCCCTTATACAGATCTCGAAATGCTATAGAATTAAGCACAGTGCCGAATCTGAATGATTATTAGAATATATTAGAAAGACTACTTATTGGACAGAACACCAATTACAGTTCTTAAAAAATCGAATAAATCAAATAATCATCCTTATGTTAGAAAAAAGAAGAAATTCGTGCTAAAAATGTTATTCAGAACACAAAGGTTTTCACCTTGCCTCACAGTTCAACACGAGAAGCTATGATTTATAAAGTTGGCGTATATTAAATATATACCAAGAGTTGAAGGTGGCAGCCTTATACTCCATTGTAGTAAAATAAATTGCTATAGAGTGAATAGTTTCCTTTATCCCTAGCATAATAATTAAATAGCTGACATCAAGGATCTATTGATACCAAAATGAGACTTATAAGAACGACAGTAACATTTCTAGTCTTCAAGATCAAAAAGGTATTTTTTAGGCAATTGAAAGGACATTAACAGTGAAGAATAAAAGGTGATTTTTCCTTAGAAAGGAAATAAATCTCTTATTTTCGAATATTTCAAATTATTTGAAAGAAGTCCAGGAGACCAACCCTCGTTTTTGAGGCAAATCATACAATTATTCCTTACGAAAACAAAAAACCTATTTTAGAATACACACTCTGCTGATAATGAAGTTTTAAACCTCACTTAGAGCCATACTTAAGTTGTATAATTGTTATGTGAGGGATATGCCAATGAAGTGGATTTGTAACAAAACATAAGGTGTTTTTGCAATTTACTGAAAACCGGAAATACTCTTAAAAAAGACAGAGGGGTCTACGATCCGAAACGACTCAAGTTTTTCTCGCCAATATCTGTCACCTACTTCAATCCATTGTGTAATTTCATTTCATTTCCTGAAATATGGAGTTCAAAAAAAATCCTCAATTTAATTAATTTTTTGTGGGGAATTCTAAAAATATCCTCAATTTAATTGAATTTTTTGTGGGGAATTCATTTTGATTGAAAAGTGTATGATACCTAAATGTCCCATTATATGGAGAAAATTTCATATAAATTATTTTTGAAATGAGGCTTCTCTATCAAATGAGAAATATCAAATCGCATCTAATACGATGTTCAAAATAATCAACTAAAACCGAATATTTGACAGTACTACCTTTATATTCAACTATCTGAAATCTAAAGTGGATGGGACAGCGCAACCTGAACCCGTAAACCGTTTATCCAAAGTTCTTACAAACATCACCATCCTTAGATGGTCGTAATATACAGGAAAGTCTCAGAGTGACGCAGTCACGACATGTGGCTGGTTGCACATCCCTAAACCTACCCTAACCTATATGGGAATATAGGTAATTTCGAACATGACTGCAGACAAAAATACACTCGTGTACAAGATCTAATGTTTATTTCTATGAGTTAGAAACTGAATCTTCTATTGGTGGGAATTTATTTCGATTTCTAGGTTCATTAGAGTTCACTAGTTTTTGGAACCGGGAACAGGCACATTGAAAAAGTTTTGTCAAGGAAGTCAATACAGAATGATTGCACATGGGTGCTTTTATATAGAACATCACCTAGATCCATATCCAACAGTCCAATATTAGAGGACCCTCTCTGCGTTCAAATGAATAAAATTTCGTAGATAATTAATTGTGTATGGAAGCAAAAAAATCCATCAACCTAACCTCACAAAAATACACATACCCGAATTAATTAATAACCACAATCGTAACTTCATATTTTCCCATTGAATATTTCAAAACCACAAAACACAGAGTGTGATAAACGATTATCAGTGAAAATACAACAAGGATACCAAATTATAGCAAATAAACATGTTCCCACCATAACCCATGGCAGAATTATAGAAGGTAGTCTCATTGGAGAATTTGTTGATTGCAACCCATTTCCATTTGGAACAATAAATTAATCAAAAAATATTTTCTAAATCTGAACTCTTTTTGAGAACTAAATCTGAAATCTTTTAGAGACAGGGAATTTCAAAATATTTATAAATATAAATTTGTCCAACTGAACTTATGATATGCTCAGATTTCGATGAAAGATATTTACATATAAATTTTGAAAGCTGATATATTGAAAAAATTGGAAACATATGACTGCATGAAACTACCTTGTGTAATTATATGCCATGACCATAACCTAACAAAAATACTTAAAATTTGATTTTGTATCAAATAAATAATGTGAGATTTATAGATTCTTGTTGGTCACTTACTTGATTAGCTTTACGAGCACGTCTCTCCAAATCTATTCTCTTTTCCATGGTAATTTCTGTGTGTTTTTGTTTGGTGGCTGGCTGGGCTAGCGGTGCGGCTTACAATTTGATAACAAATGCTAGGTTGGGTTGTTTGTTAGCTGCTGGGGGATGTGACGACAAACTCTTGTCGATCACCACCACAATACCAAAATAAAAACAATTTACTAAAAAAAATTGTGAAATTTAGTTATTTATTTCAATATCGAAATATCTATTGCCAAATAGAATTTACTTACCGAAAATGAAAATGTTTGACCACCACCACTTTCTTCTTCTTCTCTAGGTTTTTGTTGTGTTTCGGTATGCAAAGAATCAGACTAAAACAAAAAATAAAAAAAAAAACAAGAAAAGCTGGAGATATTTTCTACCTATTGACTGGATGAATGGTTAGTTGACTGGCTGACTGGCTTGTTGGCTGCCTGTGTGCGAACGTGTGTGTGTGCGTTTTTGCTGTTCTATTTGGCTGGAATTGAAAGCAGCAAACGTATGAAAATTCTGCGCCACTGTGTTGATTGCTGGCTTGTTTGATTTTTTTTCGTGATATGTGGCGGCGGTGGTGTTGGGCGAAAAATGAAGAAGAAGCAGCAAAAAAAGTGCGTGTGTGTTGTAATAAGAAAGGCAGGCAGACAGGAGGCCAGGCTGGATGGCCTATTCAAGTAAAATAACTCCCCAACCCCATTTGAACTCTCAGAGTCTCTCAGGGAATGCGTGGTGCCGTTGCAGTGACAATCAAAAGAAGACCCACATACCCACCCAACAAGATAAGTGCGAGAGTAAGTGTGTGTGGTTCCTCCTAATGCAGTAGAATGCAGCCAGCCAGCCAGCAGCAGCCACTGTTGAAGGCATCAGGTCGATAATAAATGTGCGTATTTGTGGCGATTTTTTTGCAGATCTTAGGGGGATCCAAAAACAGGCTGTTGCTAGCGCACAATATTTGATCGATTGGCAGGCCAAGAAATAAGAAACATTGACATTTCTTTTTGACAATTTTCGTCGACGAGACGAGTTAAAATCAACATTTTATTTTCCTTCCAGCCTCCTTTCACACACAACACAAGTTCAATGTCTGCCAGGCCTGCCTGCCTATGCATGGCAATATAATATTTTTTTGCCACTGCTGCAAAGAAATGTATGAAGATTTTTTTCTTTGTTTTTTTCGCATTTGCCATTTCTTCACAATATAATTGTCACATAGAAGAAAAAAACACCAAGCCGAAAGCAACGCATCAGGGAAATATTGAAAAAAAAATTAATTAAAACTTGAACGCCAGCAACAACTACATCATACACGCACACATGTTTTTTTCGATTCTCCTCTTCTTAACAAGAAGTTTCGATTAACAAAAATATGAATTTTTAATTAAATTCGGCACTTGATTTTCTGATACGCAGCCACCATCAAACCACCAATACCTGTTCGCCGTTGCAGTTTTCTTCCAAGTTTTTTTTGCATTTTCTTTGATTTGTAATACTTACAGCCCTTGATCTCTCTGCTGTTGCTACTCTGGAGGAATTACTACCCGTTGCTGAACAATTCAACTTATTTCCCTCGATTGCAAAGTTGGTTACTTCCTTTACTTGGCTTTGATTTCAATCAATTGCGAAAAAAATTAAGAAAATTTCTTCTTTTTTTTCTCAAACAAAACCCTTCGACGACGACGACTACTTTTGTAACACCACACACAAATAAATTAACGCTGTTTTGTGTCGTTGTGTCGGTCTTTTTCATTCGACTTCAAATTGTACCGATTTCATGAGATTTCAATGCGTTCCGTTTCCGTAGCGTTTCCCCCTCATATATTATATCGCCGTTTCGTTCTTTTTGTTATCTTCTTCTGCTAGTGGTTTCAATTCAATGCCGTTAACACACCATATTCGAGCGCCAGTTTTGTTACTTTTGTTGTTATGGTTAAGGGTGGTGTAGGTCGACTTTTAACATATGGCAGAAAATCGAGAACGATAAGTAAAAAATCGATTATCGTGTGGGGGAAATAAATCGAATAATTGAAGGGCATACATGTTAATTAGGAGTTTACAAAGGGCAAAGAAGTTAAAATTATCTATTAATTGTGAAAAAATGAAAAAAAAAAAACTAGCATTAAAGCACGTTTAGACTATGATTTATTTAAAATTATTATCAAAAATACTGAATGCCTCACATGGTTATACGAGAAGATGATTCTTTAAGAAGAAAATAATGCAAAGAAATATTTTTAACATCTAAAACGGGTTTACATACTACAGACAAAAATTGAATATACACTTGTACTCATACAATTAAGTCATTCAAACAAAACAATAAGTGCAAAAGACAATTTTATAGATTATGGATGAAATAAAAGTATCTTTATTACAAATATATATAAAGGACACAAATTAACTAAAATAACTCAATTTCAACGTTTTATAACATAAAATAAACATAATTCGACAAAAAACTGCATTAATTTCATTTTAAGCTGCTCAAATATCGAAGAAAATAGTAAAATCTAGAAGAACCAATAATTAAGTCACTAGGACGTAAATAGGTTAATTGTTAATATTTTTAAAATTGTCACATTATGAACTTGAATTAAGTTAATATTTAGTTGTAGTTAGTAGTTATTTACTTCTGCACATATCTTGCTCATAGAACTGACGAGTTTGAAACATTGCTCTGGAGTTATTTTATTCCATTAGTCCTTTATAATTTCCCCAAGGATGCTTTGTTTGCTGGCTTTCTAACTGAGACAGCTCTTTTTATGATACCTCAAAGATTTTTCAATGTGTTTAGGCCCGGCTTTTGTCTAGCCACTCTAGCATTTTAATATGATTGGCCGCAATCCAGTTCTACGTTTGATCAGTGTTTGGGGTCGTTGTCCTGTTGAAATATCCAGGCCAAGGGTAAATCATCAGAATAACCATTTAAAAGGTGTTCTTCTGAGATATCTCTGTACATAACACATGTCATTTTTCCGTCTATTTGGACATTTGGACCCACGCCTGATGCCATGAAGTATCCCCATACCATCACAGACCGTGTGTAACGTGGATTTAATTCCTGTAAAGGAGGACGTGTCACATAAGGTCTAACATCATTTCCGAACACATTGAACTTAGATTAATCCCTCCAAACAATTAAATTCCAGAATTCGGGTCGCTTATGGAGGTGTTGCTTAGCAAAGACAAGTCTTTCTGCAATGTTTCTTTTTGACACATTGGGTTTACGTCGTGAAATTCTTCCATTCAACGAATTTTCTTGCAAATCTGTAGATGTGAGACATAAATCGGCTTTACTCAAATCATGGTATAATAATAGAAGGTAACAGCAAGTGTTGTTGTACAAAAAAACGATACAACAACCACATGGAAATTTGTTTTTGTAAGTTCTACTAGTGTCAACTCATTTGACAGAAAAATGTAAATAAACAAACAAATTATGATCAAATTATTTTTATTTTGAAAATGAGATATTTTCGAATCCTCAAAATAAAAATTGAAAAACATGAATGAAAATCTATCAAATTTATATTTCTATCGCTTCCACATCATTCCTATAATTGAGCCATTGCCATATATATGTGTAACACATATGAAAATGCTGGGAATAGCGAGTTATTCCTTGAAGAACGATTTGCTTCCTCAAACTTTCCCAGCAGACAGATTGAGTAAATTGAATACGGGAGCACTTTTAATAAAGAACAATTTCAAATTGTATGCGTTCCCAATTTTCCTGTTGGGTGATTTTTAAAAACAAAATTTGTCAAATTCATATTGACACTAGTATTACGTTGGAATCAAATCAGCTGGGATTTGCTGTTACCTTTAATAATTGTACCATGTACTCAAATTAACAAAGTGTCTATCATCAGCTGGATTTGTTTTTCTCGGCTTCTTACGAGGTAATATGGAACTAAAATGCCAATTTTAGTTCCATATTATAAAGTAGGTTAACCCGGTAAAAAGTTCTAATGTATATGCCGTTTTATGTTGATTTTGAAGTATTGACATCTAATTTTGGTATATTTTCTAGATTTGCGTACCCAGTATTTTTTTTAATGGTAAAACTAGTAAAAGGGAAACATTTCAAAATTGCTCTCAGTGTACAAAATAATTTCAAAAGTTCGGGGACGCAAATCTAGTAAATATGCCAAATTTAGATGGCAATACTTCAAAATCAACATAACAGCCAATCAGAAGTAGGCATTCCTGTTTACCATTTTTACTCGACCAAATTTCTCGAGTAAAAAGTTTTCAAAGAGAACGCCATTTTGTTTTGTGCTCTCTTAAATTTTAGTCAATGGTTTACCAGTTTTGTGAGTTGAGGAACGGTTTTTGAATAAAAAGTTGGAAAACATGTAAACTGAGTAGATTCTTTTAGGTTCTGGAACGGAACTATAGTATTAATGAATGCATGACTTGTGGTCTGTTCCCGTACTGCAAGAAACTACTAGATTTTATTATTTTCTTCGATATCATAAAGGAAAAAAGTGTTATCATAGTAAAAAAATAGTAGATTCTTGTAGTACGGGAACAGACCATTGGTTATATGAAAAAAATACTTATTTAAGAAGAAAATAATGGAACGTTTAGACAAAAAAAATCTCCTCAATTTCAAACAGAACATTTCGTATGGTTTTGAACTCTGAGAGCGATTTTCACATTTTTCATTTTTACTAGTTTTACTCTGGAAAAAGTACTGTTTAATTTTCATTTCAGCAGCTCATTTATTTGGAACTTTTTATTAGGTTAACCTACTTTATGAGAATTTATTTGGCATGTATGTAATGGAATTGGCAATATAATAGTACGTTTACATTTACCCGGATTTCATTAACCAAGTGGGTTTTAATTGTCAATTCCTTTGCATATACGTCAAATAAATCCTCATAAAGTAGGTTAACCCGGTAAAAAGTTCTAATGTACAAGGAGTTTAAACCCAGCACAATGTAAATGTACTATTACGTGAAAATATAGAAATAAATTTTGTATACCATTCGTATTTTCTTTAATTAGCTGACTTTAATTCATGCAGTCATAGGTTTTAATGTTTGTATTA